TTGTTTATTGGTCCAGTGGTGAGGATTTTTGTTTTCTTTACATTGACATGTAATCCATACCGAAGGCTGTACTCTTTGATCTTCATCAGTAAATGTTTTAAGTCCTCTTCACTTTCAGCAAGCAAGGTTGTATCATCTGCATATCGCAAGTTGTTAATGAGTCTTCCTCCAATCCTGATGCCACGTTTTTCTTCATATAACCCAGCTTCTCGGATTATTTGCTCAGCATACAGGTCCAATATGGTAGCCATTAGCTAATGTAACTGCTAAGCACTTGAAATGCAGCTAGCGTAACCAAGGAACTGAGCCTCATTTCATTTTAATTGGCTCAAGTATAAATAACCACATGTAGCTACTAGCTCTCTCACTAGAAACAGCTGCTCTTAGTGTCTGTCCTGGTTATCTTTTGCCCAGATAGAGGACAAACACTTGGGCTCAGGTTCTGAATTCAATCCTGGTGCTTGATCCTAGTTCTGCCTCATAATAAAAGTCCTGACCATTCCGTGGAGTCGCCGTGTGGTGCCAACAGTTAGCATGCTCAGCTCCTAACCAAAAAGTTGGAGGTTCAAGTCTACCAAGAAAGATCTGGTGAGCTGCTTCCCACAATACAAGCCACTGAAACCCAATAGAGCACAGTTCTTCTCTGGTAAACATGAGGTTCCCATGAGTTATAATTGACTCAGCAGCAACTGGTTTGCTGTTTGGGAAACCACTTCAAAATGTTTACAAAAGGTCAACGTTTACAAAAGGTGGTTCCTTTCCGTGTTCTCTTACCATGACTAGCTATTTTAAGCTCCATCTGCTCCCCAGGCTGAAGTTCAATGTTGTAATTGTTAAGTGCTGTCAAGTCAGTTATAATTCCAAGGAGCAGCTGGTGAGTTTGAACCACTGACCTTGTGGTTCAAACTGACCTTGTAGTCCAGTGCTTTATCACACAGTGCCACACCAGGACTCCAAAGTCTTAATGTTGTTGTTGTCAGGTGCCATCGAGTTGGAACTGACTCATAGTGACCCCATGCACAGCAGAACGAAACAATGTCCAATCCTGGGCCAACCTCACTACCGCTGCCACACTTGAGTCCATCAATGATGCCACCTGGCCAATCCATCTCGTTAGGCGTCTTCCTCTTTTTCTCTGACCCTCCACCTTACCCAGCATGACATCCTTCTCCAGCGACTGTTTCCTCCTGACAATATGTCCAAAGTAGGAGAGACGAAGCCTTAGCCATCCTGGCCTCCATGGAGCACTCTGGCTGCACTTCTTCCAAAACAGATCTATTGGTTCTTTTGGCAGTCCATGGCACTTTCAGTATTCTCCTCCAACACCACAACTCAAAGGCATCAATTCTTCTACGATCTTAATAGCTGCTCTTAACAGGAGTCCTGGTGTGGCTCTGTGGGATAATGCACCGCAAAGTTGGTTTGAACTCAAGGTCGGTGGTTCAGATTCACCAATCGCTGCATGGAAATCCTATACAGGGTTATTATGAGTCGTAACCAACTTGACGGCACTTAGCAACAACATTAAAATCAGCACTGGACTTCGAACCACAAGGTCACAATTCAAACCCACCAGCTGCTCCTTGGAAACCCTATACAGAGTTGCTATGAGTCAGAAATGACTCTCGACGGCACTCAACACAACAGTCCCCACTGTCTATGCCTGTCTCTTAGCTCCAAACCTTTCCAGTGGTTCTATTTGTTTTCCCTTCTCCCTGCTTTATTACTAATTCCATTCATTTCCTGTCTGTCCTGAAACTAACATCCACCAACCTAAGTTACATAAATGTCCTATAAAGCCTCCTTTATAATCCCAGAGGCAGATACACACGAACTGGCTAATTGTTCCAAACTAGAATTTATCATCAATTTGTAAACCCAAAGATCTGTATGGTGCAAATGGATAAAACAGACGGTATCATTCAAATACGTATCATAACAAGAATATTTCCAAAAGGAGATTAGGTAAAGACAAAAGGAATTTTAGTTAAACTCTCCAAAAGAGCCCTCTGGAACCCCAAAAGGGCATTTTATTGGTGCGCCTGACAAAGAACCTTCTGGTGAATGCATCCTCTGACACTCCCCTGCACAAAGCATGTGCTGAGGGAGTCTGAGGTCAAAACTGCGTCTACAAAGGAAATTAGAAGGAAATTGTAGGAGATAAAGCACAGCTTTAGGCCCTGGCATCTGTCCAGCTGTGTTCATTTTAGTCTGATATTTTAGGAAGTGGGATGGGGGGAAGCATGGAGAAGGGCAGAGGTATCTGTGGGATCCATCAGTCCAAGTACACACGGTGCTTCCGCCAGCCCTTTTACCTCCCCAGTCCTCCTGTGGATTCCAAAGTACTTTCCCTGCCCTCCCAGGATGGCTGCAAAGTGAAAGAAACAGTAAAAATTGGCAGAATGTCTAGCCGAAAAGATGGGAAAGCAATGATCCCCAGGAAGTCGAATAAACGTACATTCAGAAATGGTTTGTTGTATGAAACCCTTCAAGTCGTAATAACAAACAGGATGCTCAGCCATCTCAGCAGTGCAACTTCCACGCACCGCCTCTTCTGAGGTGGAGTGAGCGTGATGGTTGAAGAACGCAGACACCACCACATCCCGAGTCGCTGAGGGGGTTGTGTGCAGAAGTGCCAAGATTAGAATTCCAAATCCCAAGCCTCCCCGGGCAACGCTCAGACCACTTGGCCACAGCGTCTCCCTTGTGGCGGCTCATTTATCAACTGCAAATAATTTTCCCATTACTTTCCTAAACAAGCTCCGTGCATCTCGGAGCAGAAGACAAAGCTCTGTCCATTTTAAGAAGAAGAATACACACAATGCAGCAAGTGTTATATCATCAGAGGAGCACAGGCTAGTCATGGCCAAGTTCTTGGTAACACATTCTCTCCTAGCATCCTCAGTGATGTCATTGTGTATGCCCCTGGCTCAGGCTCCTCAGATTACTAACCCAGCACGAATGCTGAAGGATTTGTCCCAATCCTGACACTTCAGTCAACTCCATCTTTGCAACCCATCCTATGTCAGCCAGTTTGTAAATAAAATACCCTGTTAGGTGTCAACCCACACCGGTGTAATGCAAGGACCAGAACATAGCAGGATCTACTGTGTTTATGTTAAAGCCAAGACTCAGTATCTGTAAGATGTAACTAACTCTAACTAACTCACATTTTATCCAGCTAGCTATGAAAATGGAACCCTGGTGATGCCATAGGATAAGCACTGGACTGCAAACCACAAGGTCAGCAGTTCAAACCCACCAGCTGTTCCTCAGAAATCCTACACAGGGTCATTATGAACGGGAATCTACTCAACGGCACTACCAACAACATCAGCTATGAAAAATAGGTTATTTTGAGCCCGAACATCAGTGAATTACATCTCACAATATCTGTTAAACTCAAATGCCTTATATAGTAAAAACAGACAGGAAAATCAGAATCCATTTGTCATTTGGATTTAGAAATGACATTTTCAGTTAAGACTCTCTTCCATCTCTTTATTCTTTGTAAAAGGTAAGAATTTAAGACTAATGCAGTCTTTTTCTATAAAAGTCTTCCTTCGTCTATAAAAAGCAAGGTGGTAAACAATTTAGGCTTTGAGGAACCACATGGTCTTATCTGAAACTGCTCCACTCTGCCATTGTAGCACAACCAAAGCAGCTGCTGTCAAATGGATTCCAACCCATGGCAACCCTTGTGTCTGTGAACAGAACTGTGTCCCTCTGGGTTTTCAATGGCTGTGGGCTCTTGAAAGTAGATCATTACGCCTTTCTTCCAAGGTGTCTGTGGACTAGAGGGATTTAAACTCTCAACCTTTCCATTGATGGTTCAAGTGCTTAACTGTTTGCACCACTTAGGGCTCTTAACCATAAATAACACCTAAATGAATGGACACGGTTGTGGTCCAGTAACACTTGATTTCCACAAATAGACAATGGGTCAGATTTGATCCATGGGGCATAGCTTACCAGCCCTTAATTGAGAAAATTAGTTCTTTCCTTCCAGGGCTTCAAACTAGTTTGAACTGGTTCAGTCATGGTCAATGAAGTGAAACTGGACAAACCTGAATTTTTTACATTCGTGTAAGGCGGACTAACAACCAGAATGTGAAAAATTACAGATCAAAGGCCTGGAATGAGAGACTTGGAAAGTGATGGCGAGCACTTTCAGGTGCCTGATGTGGGAGTTAGATTATGACCAGTGTTGTAGACAGCAACAGACAGTCAAAGTGGAGGGTCTAGCACCATCTCTGTTTCCAACTGTGCTCTGTAGGCTCACACTGCCCTTATTTTCTAAGAGGGAGATTCCATTTCTAGCAGGGCATTCCCAAGCCAGTTATCATCCTGATAGCCTCCCATTTTACAAATTTGGGTTCTTTCAGCTTTTGCTGCATGGGCCATGACACAACTGAGAAGAACCTGTTGAAAGCCCTGTTCTCTTTCCTTACTGTATATTATCTCCAGCTCAGACTTCACTAACATGGATCATTAAGGAAATGGGGACATGCTACGATTGGAGGAGAATACTGAAAGTGCCATGGCTGCCAAAAGAACCAACAGATCTGTGCTGGAAGAAGTGCAGCCAGAGTGCTCCTTGGAGGCCAAGATGGCCAAACTTCGTCTCTCATACATCAGACATATTGTCAGCAGGGACCAGTCGCTGAAGAATGACATCATGTTTGGTAAGGTGGAGGGTCAGAGAAAAAGAGGAAGACCCCCAAGGAGGTGGATTAGCCAAGTGGCAGCACTGATGGACTCAAGGGTGGCAACAGTAATGAGGTTGGCCCAGGATCGGGCAGTGTTTCATTCTGCTGTGCATAAGGTCTCTATGAGTCGGTACCGACTAGATGGCATCTAACAACAACAACAAAGTTGCAAACAGTGAGGATCTCAGGAGAGGCTCTGAGCTGGAATGGGCTCCACGGCAGTGGGCTTGGGTTGAGGTCAGGTTTTTTCAAGCCCACCAACAGAGTACCGATCACGTCTCTTGAACTAACCAGCGCACAGAGGAGGTCAACAGCTTCCAGCACGAGCTCCTGGTGCCCGATGCGTGTGACACCCAGCTCCTCGAGATCCTGGTGGGAAATCTGCAGCAGCTGCTCCCCATCAATCTTCTCCCGCTCGAACTTGTTGACGTACTGCTGCAAGCAGTCATCCAGCCCTACCAAAGGGAAGAGAGAAACATGATTGACATCCAGCCCTACCAAAGGGAAGAGAGAAACATGATTGACATCTAGCCCTACCAAAGGGAGAGAGAAACATGACTGACATCCAGCCCTACCAAAGGGAAGAGAGAAACATGATTGACATCCAGCCCTACCAAAGGGAAGAGAGAAACATGACTGACATCCAGCCCTACCAAAGGGAAGAGAGAAACATGACTGACACTTGGTTCTGTTGCTCAAAAACTTACCTATCTTTTTAATTGTTGCTGAAACTACACACAGTGAAAGTATACACCAACTCAAAACTTTCTGCAGGTACAGTTTATTGACACCGATTAGACTCTACATTGTACTGCTACTCCCACCCTCCTGTTCCGACTTGTTCCTCCCCTATAGACACACACTCCCTTCCTCTTGAGCTTCCTATCTAACCTTTTGAGTGGCTGCTAACAATTTGTTCCCTTATATTAAATGTTTTTAAAAGCTCATTTGTCATGATTGGCATTATTAAGCTAGATACTACTTTCTGGTTTATAAAGGGGCTTCAAGGGGCTATTCTGATTCATGCCTGGAGGATTTAAGATGATCTGTCACAAGTTCGTCCAGTCTCACTAGCTCCAGAAACTCTGGATTCCATGAGATTTGAAGTTCTGTTCCACATTTTTACCCCTTTTGATCAAGACTCTTCTATAGAATCTTTGATAATGGTAGCCTGGCACCATTTCTGGTCTCCTGGCAAAGAAGTCAGTTGTTCGTAAAGGTAATCATATGCACATTCAAAAAAAAAAAAAAAAGCCCACATTTATCTCAGTCTGAGCAGTATCAATTATTGCCATGATTTAACTATTGATATGATATACATTTCCACCTAATGGATTCCTTTTAAAGGACAGCTTCATACAAATTTTCAATGCACAACTCAAAATTCTCAAATGAATGTGTAACAGTTTTATGATAGTTATCTTCCATTCCCTACAAACTAATGTAATAAAGAATAAATCCCTGCAAATATGAAATGCTAGTACAATACAGATATTTGACATATATTGTTTGTTTCTTTAAAAATGAAAAAAAAAAAAAACCTTCCTTTGGGACATTATGCCTCTTCCAGATGATTCCCATGGGTCTGGCAATGAAGATGGCATTCTAAACACCAGCCACTTATAGGTTCAGGGATAGTCATGTGATTCAAGCAGGACCAATCAAAATCTTCCCTGGCATTTGATATACAGACAAGGAAAACAAGAGGCCCTTCCTTCCTTTTCTATAAGGAGAAAACCTTGGGGATACTGGCAGCCATTTTTCTGATCACTTGTTTGAAAATAAACCCAACAGACATTTAGAAGCAGAGTATCTATGAGAGACAGAAAGCCTCAATATTATCCTATATACCCCTGAGTTAACTCGACTTAAAGATACTTCTTAAATACCCTTAAACCCTTAAGGAGCTCACGTAGCATAGTGGCTACGAATTGGGCTGCAAACTGCAAGGCCAGCAGTTCGAAACTACCAGCTGTTCCATGGGAGAAAGACAAGGTGTTCTGTTCCCGTAAAGATTTATAGCCTCAGAAACCCTGTACAGGGTCACTATGAGTCGGAACCGACTCCAAGGCACACAGCCACGAGCCAGCCACCCTTAGACCCTTAGAAATTTTTGCTTCAGCTGAAATAATTTTCTTTTCAGCTTCAGCATGATTGTGTTATGTTTCTGTCCCTTGATAAAGTTTTGATGAATAAAGAATCCAAGGAAAATGGACTGAGTTAACTCATAAGAAAAACTGGGGGTCAAATACTACTGTGAACAGTGCTGTATTTTAAAGGTTTTTATACGAATCGGGCTGCGAACCTTAAGGTCAGCGGTTCGAAACTACCAGCTGCTCCGCGGGAGAAAGATGAGGCTTTCTACTCCCGTAAAGATTTACACCCTCGGAAACCCTATACAGGGTCGCTATGGGTCGGAACCGACTCGATGGCACATAACAACAACAACAACAATTTTAATTACATAATGATGAAAACAGGTACGCCAACTAGACCTCGGGAACATTTACTTCTATACAGAAACTTCTAGTCAAGTTCTTTCAGTGGCTTTACTAGAATAAAGTATGGCTATGAGTCAGTTGATCTACTCAAGAATAATTATAAACACTTCCAGATTTTTAAAAGAATAGGTGTAAACAGATGTATTCTCGATGCACAGGGCAGAAACTCCATTTACCTAGGATAAGACAGAGTGAGAGGAAGGTATGTTTCACCTCCTCTTCACACACTCACTCACACACTCACTCTCACACACACACACACACACACACACACTTCATTGAACTTTCACAAAACCTGTGTCTTGCGGGTATTTCTCTGGACTAGAAAAAGGAGACACACAGGTCCAGCATTTCGTTTCAACACTACAATCCATAGGTTTCAAGGCCTGGCGACCAGCTTCTGTTTCGATGACATCCAAGAAAATACTGTGGAGCAGCTCCACTCTGAAACACACAGAGCTCCACTCTGAAACACACAGAGACTGACCAGACAGCAACTAACATCAACAACAAGGACACCTAGCTATCTCTGCCCCCAAACTCCCACCATCTGCCTCCTGACGAGATACAGGAAGACAGATAATGAAAGACAATTTTATAGTTACTCTTCAGGGTTACCATGTATAGGAAGAGAAGGTAAGACAAAATAAATTTTATGGTTACCATCTGGACCCAACCCATCTTCCTGAGGTGACATCTGTGTAGTAGAGGGGCTCAGTCACACAGAATATCAAAGCTAGCACAGTGATATAAAACCAGCTCCACCCACTTCGTTGGCCCCAAACCACAAGAGGCCTCCATGGCATGAGTCCAGCAGACAGTGGACATGATGCTGTCAGCAGGGCTTAGACAGACATCCAGAGGTGCTGCGGAGGGGCCATGTCTCAGCATGTCATCTGCAGAGGGACAGTGTCTGTATGACCAAGAGTAAGGAGAGCTTCCCGAGAACTCCCATTCACACTTTAGAGGTGAAGAGCCCACGGCTGGTGGAGGTCCTCTAACCTGCCCCAGTCGCGTTAACTGTTAAGCTATCAAAGAAGGGCCTTCAATTTCATTCTGTCCAGTCTGACAGAGATGAGCTCAAATTCAATCAAGGTCTCTTCCTCACAACTCTTATTCTTTTGAATCTACCTGGCAAACATGGAACTGTAAAAATGTCTTTCTGACATATTTCTAAATAACAGTGAGATCTCATCTCAGTTACAATACAATCACAAAATCTTAGAGGTAATCATTGTTGGGGGCCAGAGATTTTGACTGACGGCATTCTCATGAGACAGTGTAGAAGCACCCCCACACACTTTTCAAGACTGTCATTTTGGGAGACGCATAATGCCACATTTTCGTCCTATGGAGCAGCTAGTAGGCTCGAACCACTAACAATGTATCCTGCACCCCCAAGGTCATCGAGTCCATTTCAACACACAGCAGCCCAACAGAGCAGAGTAGAAATCACACAAGTTTTCCAAGGCTGTAAATCTTTGGGAAGCCTCTTTTTCCCACAGAGCAGCTGTTGGGCTCGAACTGCTGACGCTGTGGTTCGAATTCCAGTGTTTATCCGCTGGAGCCACCATGTTCCCAGGGCTCCATTGTTGTTGTTAAGTACCATTGAGTCGGTTCATCTCACAGTGATCCTGTACTGGATTTCTGAGAAGCAGCTACTGAATTTGAACCACTGACCTTGTGTTTCAAACTGACTTTATGGTTGAGTGCCTATCCTACAGCACCACACCCACCAGGAATCCAGAATCCAGGGCTCATTTAGGAAGTCCTGGTGTGGTGCTGTGGGCTAATGCATCAGACTGCAAAGTTGTTTGAACTGCAAGGTTGGTAGTTCAAGCTCACTAGAAGCTTCTTGGCAACCCTATACAGGGTCGCTATGGGTCGAAATCAACTCAGTGGCACTTAACAACAACAACAACAGGCCAACTAAACTCACTGCAATTCTGACTCATAGGGACCATATACAGCAGGGGTGGGGAAACTTTTGTCTGTCAAAATTTATCACATCATTCAAGAGCCATAAAAAAATATCAACTTAAAAATTAACCTGCTCTACCCAAAATGGTGTGGCACTGTGGGTTAATGAGCCAGACTGCAAAGTCATTTTGAACTGCAAGGTTAGCAGTTCAAGCTTACCAGCTGCTCCTCAGAAACCATATACAGGGTCAGTATGGGTCGGAATCAACTCGACGGCACTTAACAACAACAATGTGGTGGCTGCAGGATCAGCACTGGACTAGGAGCTACAAGGTCAGCAGTTCAAACCTACTAACCTGTTGCTTGGAAACCCTATAAAGGGTCGCTATGAGTCAGAACTGACTCCACAGCACTCAGCTGGAACTGCAGTTGCCTTGGCAGAACCCGGCTTCCCTGGCCCCTGCTACGTAGGGTTTCTGAGACTGTAAATCTCTACGGGACCAAACAGCCTCATCTGTCTCCTCTGGAGTAGCTAGTGAGTTTGAACCACTGATCTTGCAGTTAGTAGGCCAATGCTTCATTCACTGCACCACCAGGGCAGTGAAATACTTGAAAAGTACGTTAAAAAAAAAAAAAAAAATCACTGACGTGCTGAGCCAATTCCCACTCATGGCAACCCCAAGTGTGTCAGGAAAGACCCGTGTTCCACAGGGTTTTGGTTTTTCAGTGCCTACTGTTCTGAAGGAGATTTGCAGGTCTTTCTTCTGAGACCCTCTGGGTAGACTCCAGTCTCCAACCTTTTAGTTCATTGCCAAGAGCAGTGATTAACCACACACCACTAAAAGTACTCGGCTACTAAAGACCAATATCAGTGAGATTCCGATTTATGTGCCACGCATGCTCAATGCTCAAAATATAAGCATAAAACTGTGAGGCTCGGTACTACCTTTCATGTACAGAATAAATCAATCAATTAAAACCAACGTGAAGAAACCATGTTTTATGGATGCTCCTGAAAACGTCATCCCTGGATG